ACTGCAAACCTGTTGAAATCTTGCAAATGAATTAATTATATCTATATTTAATGTACTTGACCATCAAAATATTCAACATACGGTCTAACAAATGTAATTTTAGCAATTAGATAGTAGAATCTATATAGGTTCGCAGCACTTTTCACAAACTACACAGAGTGTTGAAAATAATTATATGTTAAACTTAGATTTTTAACTTGGTTATGCCCTTGCAATATTAGAATTTATAGATGACCTCAATACTTCAAGTATATTTGCTAAAATCACATGACTGCCACATCATGTGACAAGTCTAAATAAAAAATCTAATCGTCCTCAACATGTAGTTTTCAACCACATTGCATTTGTCCGATAATAGTAAAGTCCTAAAAAGAAACGCCCATCCTTGTAAAGAATGTATTTTCTATCTAAAAAAATCGCCGATATTTCCATTCGGCACCTTAACTGTGCTGCGAAAATTATGTGTCCAAATAGCTATTGTTCACATGATCTAAGGAGGAAACACAATTTGTGAGTGTCTTGAAGGTTTTAGACCCATTAAAATTTCCATTGCACCCGAGATTGATCTCTACATAAGTTTATTTTGCGTCAACAGTCTTTTTTTTTATCCTGCCATTTGTCTGCATTTACATGTTTATTCGGAATTATGAAGTTTCTAAATCTAAATCAAAAGAGGTATAACTTCTATATGAAACTAACCTAAATTCTTCAGATTTTTATAGAGTTCACAGATATGTTAAGACCAAGTTTACTATGCAAATTTTAAAACAAAAGAAATCTTTTATCAACACTCCCTCTACATCCCCTCCCTCGGCTAATTCTGCCCTTGAAAAAAAATACTAAATACAAAATACATGCACAGAAACACAATTAGATTGATAAGCTATCATCTTTTGTTAGGTGCAACATAATGTTTATTAACTGAAAATTGTTACCCTCAAGTGATAGATCTATGCTTTAAAACTATGAAAGTGTTTTTAATAGATGAAAATGGTTTATTGTCCTTGCCTATCACATGTTTTTATTATTATTATTATTATTATTATTATTATGTGAAATATCTATTACTTATTGGAACATATAAGTATCTCGGAATTAGTTACAGAAGTAAAAAATGATATACGAACGAAAAATTGTTACCTGGTATTCTTAGCCTGTCAAAAGAACAACCACAGCCTTTTCTGTAGAGAAATACATTTAGTATTTGCTTCTACCTTGTTTTTAGCTATCTGGTTTGTACGAAACCTTAAGATCTTCCCCACAGCTACTTTCACTTCTACATCCATTTTCCCAAATGCTGATTTAATACGATCTTACGGATTGGACAACATGTTAATAAAAATTTTTTAGTATGGTCCCCAGAAGATGACCCTCAATGGAATTTCTTGAAATCATTGTGTACCGATCTATGTGAACGGATCAAAGCAGGCCCGTAGAAAGCAATTTTAATGTGTATGTGTGTGTGTAGGGGAGGGGGGAATCATACATTTTCAGTTGGGAGGCACTATTAACTATCAAATCTTTCTTGACAAGCAAAGTCATCAGTTATTATTGAGGGAGCACAAGCATATAGTAACTATGTTTTCTACAGTATTCTTCATATCGGCAAAATTATTTTTTGGGGGACACGGCCCTCCCAAACCCCATGCCCCCCCCCCCCCCCCGGTTCCTACGGCCATACAAAGGATCGGATTTTAATCAGAATTGATGTAGACTTTCTATTTCAAGGCGTATCAAATAAAAAACTTTATTGTGCCCTATGCAATGAGAAATAGTTTTCTATTTAGCTTTTGTGTAATTTCAAGGGGTAGCTGATCCATGTGTACTGATTTCTGTCCTCACGTCCTACACCACATGTAGCTCAAATGTTATATATTTCGAAGTAATAAACAAGGATGATCCTTAATTTGTATTAAAAAAGTCGTCTATTTAAACTCTACACCTACATTCTTGTTATACACATGTAACAGTCACCAGAATTAAAACAACCTTGTTGGTTAGGAAATGAGTGGTGGAATATTAACATTATATTTGGTCAATTGTTTACGTAAGATGTCTTGTTACTTTATCAAATGCTTTTCATCAAAGTCTCAAAGTCTTGACTATATGGTTCTTTTCCATAATGCCAATGTAAGTTTAAGGCATTTATGCATGTGTATTAAGGCGTTCTAAGACGGAATAAATGGAATGGAAGTTCTTAAACTAAGAATAATAATAAAACAAAAAGAATAACAATATTATTGGGTTACAGGTTAACATTTTTTCTTTCATAGCAATTGATATAATTTTTTTTCTTCTAGTATTTCTCTGTTGAAAGACTTTTCTAATAAAGATAACGCAGATGTGACCATTTACCCATACGTGACATCTGACCCAACTCTGCTGGTAACAGTGGTCTAGATTTGCCATTTTGTGTCATTGGAATTAGAGTTCTTCTTAATGTATACCTACGAATTGGTCTGAGTCTCTAGTTCTGCAGACAGATTCGATGTAGATGTCAGACGTATTCTTGCTCCTTTTGCAAATTTAGTTGGCATTACTGGCGAGTTAAGGGTGTTGCCGACGGTAATAGATGCAAAATTGTTTTATTTTACAGAGGACACCTTGGAATGTGTTGTGCTGGTTTCAGATGGGATGATGTCTACCAAAAATGTATCCGTGAGTACTTTTTTTTAATTGAAATATATTTATGCAATGTATCAGTCAAAACATTTTTTTAGATTCATCTATATGTAAAATTCATTTTTATACACTTTTTTTTAGGTCATATAAAATACAGAATCATAGAGTATTTGCAATTTTTATTTGAAATGTCTCCGTGAAGAATATTGCTTTTACTTGCAACAGAGTGTAGTCCCGGGTATATTGGGATAAACTGCTCTGATGTGTGTCTTTATCCTTACTACGGCAAAAATTGTCAGAACCTCTGCGCGTGTAAACCAATATCATGTGCTCCTGATGTCGGATGTTTCATTAAAAAAGGTAAAAAATTCCAAGTACTTTATAAAGATAATTCACATATCTGTTTCAACGATGGTTTTCCTTTTAAACTTTTTTTGCTTAAGTTTATTTCTTATTTGATACAAGACATTATGATTATTTATAGAATTAAAGGCACGCATTATGAAACCGCCTATCATGTGTAATATTCAGTAAAGAACAGTCTCTATGTTCTCTTTGTGTGCAAACAGGTAATATAATTATTAAAAGCTTCTAAAAATCACTAATGACCGGAAAAAAAGTTTTCCAACTTTTTAAAATAATTTTTGGCTCTGATTATTGATTCATTAATTGCGATATTTAATAATCTTCCAAAATACTTGACGTCATAATAAAAGTAGCCAAGTAACACTATCATTGCAAGGTTCTCTGGCATGGTTTTCATATAACAATGTAAATTAACAACTGCACTTTTCGACAACATTGATTGTATTTGCTCCCCCATGACGAAAATATTTACTTACGTTCTGCGGATTTTTTCTAGGGGAAAACTGTTGCTCTCAACACCAGTCATTTTTTGTAAAATAACGTTCATTTCTCTATAAGCTTTTTTGTTGTTCAAACGTCATGATGAATTGAAATTATATCATTATTTTAAATTAATTATTTTTAGAAATTATAATTGTAAAAAAAAAAAATTGTTTATTATGGATTTATTAAATCTGATATAGCAAGTCTCTTTACATTTCGCGTTAACATATTTGAAATCTTGTAGGACCATGTTAACAGTATTCGATGTAACTTGTTTTGAAATTCATTTCATTTGCCTTCACTTTATTCCCTGCTGTGTGTAGTTTAAGGAATATAGTCGTTCTAAATTCTATTTGTAACGCGCATTATTCTTTGAAGGTCTAAAGTGAGAAAACAGATTTGGTCATCATAAATATTTTATGAATCTGTGATTGATGAACAACATTATTAAGACTAAACATATTATTTTCTATTTTATACAAATTAGATAACAAATTTAAGATTACAACATGGATAAAGACGTCCACTAGAAGTCACAGAATCAGAACATCAGCTTCCAGCATGACAACAGAGCAAAATGGAGAACCACAACTCAAAGAAACGTGGTCTGATAAGAGTCTTGGTCATGTTATAAAATCGTATCTGTCTGAAGAGAGTAAAACTGACCATATACTGTCTGTTACAACACTTGTTTGTGTGTTGGCTATTTTGGTTCTTTTTGTCGTTGTCTTTGTTTTGATTTTGGAGCAAAATGGAGCAAAAGTTGGGAAGATACACGTATCTACACATATTCGATCAATACAGTCTACGGACTCTGATCAATACGTTAGCATGAACAATCTTTCTCTTTTACAACGATAAAAATGTTTAATCTCGAGAGCTTCACAGTTGTGAGATTCCATTATCAAATTAAAAAAAAAAAGGCTTACTAAAATAGAACTGAGTCAAAAACAAAGGTTAAATTTCATCGAACAGACAGAATTAAGAACTATTTATCACTCTAATTATGTAAATTCAAGCACACTTGATTTACTTTACAGTTTTAAAAACATTTAGCAATATAATCAAACGAGTAGCAAGCTTTTTTTAAGTAGGGCTCCGCGTAAAAATCATGCAGGTAGCACAGAAAAGGCGCTACATCGATAATCAGCAAATTCATTAAAACTGAGTTTAATATATTCATTTGGGTCTAAAATGAATGATAACGAATGAATTTGTTAAAATTCTTCTTTTTTCATATAGCTAGGGATAGGGTACTCCAGGGGTAATTTTCTATGGATAGTGTGTAAATAAAGCATATTTCAGAAAATAATTTCTTCTAAACCCAAGAAGACGTATAAGATCTAAACACATAATTACAGTGAAAATGGAAAGTGTAAATTAAATTTACTCTAATATTTTTGTGCAAACGAAGGATTGAAAAGATACAGGGTGTTAAAAATCTGGAATTTGTAAAGATTCTTCGTATGAGTTATCTCCCTTAGGAAATTTATATAGGTGGCGGTAGTAAAAAAAAAATGGCGGCCTCCATGGAAAGCTGTACTCTGCAAAGTTATTTTGATGCATCATGTGGTGTTCATTGCAAATATCCGTGTGAATTGAGTAAAAATGATTGAAAGGAATTTACAAGAACAGATTGGACATAGAGCTCGTGTAAATTAAGAGGGAAAAAAATCCGTGAAACGAGAAAGTGTAGTTTGGGAATATTACTGTCATCGTGTTGATCAGGGTATCGGCAATTTTCCTTACTACTGACATCAGTATGGTCTATGTCGGAAGTTTAGCTTCTAAGGTAATCCACCAGAATCCAAGAGTAAGACCTCAGAGAGGAGTTGCAGTCCGATTGTGTCAGCTTACTCAACTTGGAGAGGGAATATAATGTACCGGCGCCACCGGTACATTTGGACAGCTGTTTGAACAGCTTAATAGGTAGGATTTAATTTAAATTCACTTCTTATATATGGTTATTGATTATATTTTATACAGTAAAGCATGTATTGGGAAAATTATTGGGGATGGCCAGTTCCTACATGTATCAATATCATGTCCATTTTGAAAAAAAAAAAAATGACATCTTACACATATATAATTAGAATAATGTTACTGTGTCTTGGGACAGGCCCTGACCACAGGGACTTGAGGCAATCTTAGCAAAATCGGGTATACTATATACCCGATTTTGCTAAGATTGTTTTGAGTCCCTATGGCCCTGACCACAGTTAGAATGCCTTCCATATTCCCGCAATGTAGCAGAAAATGGTGGAAACACTCTGAAATGATTTTGGAGAAAATAAATGAAATTGCATTGAAAAAAATCATCAAGTTAATAATAACAAAATTAACCTTTTTTTGTCACAGGGATACCTTTCACCCCCAAAAATTAATCCATATAATGTAAGAGTTCAACACTTTTTGTCAATGTTTTTTTACACAATTCAAATTTACATGCCATGTTGACAGACAGAAATCTCTGAATTGTTCAGAGTAAATGCACTGACCAGAGTTAGAGTTATGACATGATTGCAGTGTTTTTCTTTGAAGTTTGCCATTCTGTATTAGCAATATAGAACAGGACTACAGTCGGCAGAGCTGATTTCCATTCTGTATTAACCCTATATACTGTCTTGTATTAGCCAACTATTCTGTATCTAAAATACAGCACGGTCTAAAATTAAATCTGATTCAATTTATCAAAAGCAAGTACAAATAGTAAATGCTGAGTTTTTTCTTATTACAAAATTTGGAGAAATATATCCCTACTAGGGATGGGGTAATCGTAATCGAGTAATCGTAATCAATTGTAATGATTACTTTTTTTCAAGTAATCGACAGTAATCTGTATTCGAAGAGATTTTCGATTACTTGTAATCGTAATTTAATCGATTACAGCTAAAAATTGTCAATGTAATTATAATTACTTTTTTGATTACTTTCGATTATTTTATACATAAATGGATGTTATTTTGGAGAATTATTTCCAGTCAGACACACATAAATATCAAATATAAACCACTAGTGTATAGTGTTTGGATTTCCTTACTTTTATTATCATAAGTTTAATAATGTTCTCAATAAAATTTGCATTATAGACCTACTGGTCTAGTATTAAATTAATTCAGAAGTGTACTTCAATCAATTATTAATAAAATATACAGATTTTTCATGTGCATTTTACATTTGACCCACTGTCCTCTTGCTGCATGTCCTTTTTCATATTTCAGATGTTGAAAAACTTTGTCTTGTATAATAGAAAATTATAAATAGCTAAAACAGATTTAAGTGCTGTATTAGATATAAATAATTTGGTAAATAAACTACATTGTACTCGAAAAAAGAAGAAGATGGAAATACTTATTCTTATCTAAAAATGTTTACACAACTTCAAACTTGTGTTTTAGTAACTTTAAAATTTGCAAAATCATTCTCAAGTTTTCATTCAAAATTGTAAGGTTGCTTTTTTTGTCAGTGAGAGGTTATGTCTATATTTTTAAGAGAGGGAGTTAGTGTCACTGTGTTTGCTTATCTTGGCTAATTAATTGATTGAGACATCTCTGACATGCAGATAATGAGGTGTAAACTGTGAACTACCTAGTGTTTAACTTTTATAATTCATTGAGTTCCATTGAATACAAACAATATTTTATAATTGATAGTTCCACTGAAGACAAACAATATTATTAAAACAATTAATAGCTCTCAAAACACTTATTTAAATACAGAATGAAATTGTGCTATTAGTTCAATTACTTAAAGACACATTTAATTTACATGTTTATTACTAAGAGTTCTAATTAACTTATTTTTTTAAAAAGACACATACAAGAATGTTTAATGTGTACTGTTAACCTACGGGCAGCCCAAATACTTCTAATGAAGTAATTCACAATAAAATATTGAATAATTTTTGCAACAAGTCAATAAATATGAAGGTTCAGATCCAAGGTTGAAAGGAATAATTAATTCCTTGGCACATTTTATTGTAGGAATCATGTCTCCACTTTCCATGGTAGAGAATCCCTCATTTGGACATTTAGTGAGAATGTTAGCCATTATAATAAAACCTTAAAAGAATCTGCACTAAAACTGCAGGAACACATTCAAACTTCAGTGGATAACATCAACATTTTCCATTTAAATATTGCTTTGATATTTGAAAGGATAAAAACTTGGAAGTAATCGATTATTAATCGATTACATCTTCCAAAGTAATTGATTACAATCGATTAAAGGACAAAAATGAGTGTAATCGATTAATAATCGATTACACAAAATTCCTCTAAGTAATCGATTATTAATCGATTACATTTTTCAGTAATCGTGCCCATCCCTGATCCCTAGCAATGTAAAATATCAAAATTTCTCAATTTTTAAAAAATTATTCCACACAGAATCTACATGTTATTTCGATCCAAACAAAAAGGAAAATTTGCAGTTATGGAAATCATCCTATGTTAAATAAATTTCTGAAAACCTGTTTGCGTTCCCTGCTTTTGGGGGTCCCCTTCAAAATAGTTAAGCCAAAGGGTTCACGGGTGCAGCATACATTATGTGAACTTTGCACGGTCACCCCCCCCCCCCCCCCTCTCATTTTCTACTCTTCTCACGCAAACTCATTCAAGTCCATTTTTAGCACTTTTTTTTTTAATTTCATCTTAAATTCTTATCGCTGACGACTGCCACACATCTCTTTCTCTTCGTTTTTAATGTCACATTTCAATAAGAAAATAAAAATCTGTGACATCAAAGTTCATTGAAGAACTGTCTGTATCGCTATATTCGCCTGCATGTGTATCTAGTTAAACTGAGATTTTAAGACCCCTGAAAAAATTAGGATCAGTCTCCATCTACAGCAAGGTTAAATTGTCCACCTTATCAATTAAGACTACGTCTACCCCGTTGTCAAAACTAATCTGACTAAATCTAACGTTGTCCGTGGAAATATATATCTACTGCGGAGGCATACTCCCCAACCAGGCCTTATCTACAGAGAGAACAAACATCATCTGGCGGAACTTTGGATGCTGCACAGCTATATAGTGGGTGGTGCTTTTTCTTGATTGATCATGTCACAAATCATTTAGAGAACTCGACAGGTTCTGTATCGTAGATACAAATTTGGGGGTGGAGACTAGTGCTATGCACTTGTCCACCCCCAAATTTGTATCTACGATACAGAACCCGTCTCATTCTCTAAATAATACTTATTGCCCGGTTTGTTTTGCTACATAACATTGCTAATACACATTCTATCATTAAACCGGGTCTGTAGGAGAGTATCATCTTAACAATAGAACGTTTAATCATCATATAAGCATGAAACATTGTCTGTGCTCTCATCATTAATCAATACATGTCCCACACAACAACCATTATTGATCGGTGGCCAAATTTAAGGGATTCAGTGGGAAGGCCTGGGGCTTCAGACTTTTATTAGATATCAGATTTTTCAGACTTTTATTAGAAAAAAAATATAAAAATGGAACATTTTCAATATCCTGAAAAACTGAAACTTAAAAAAATAATAATACAAAATGGCTGAAAAAAAGTTTGGGTCAGGTGCATTTTCAGTGGGTGGGTAGGCAACTGCAAACAAATTAATTTTTATTTTAGGTCCCAGGTTTATGGTAATTCAAATTGAAAATGAACATGTAAATTTTACTAATTAAAAGAAGTAAATGCTTTATGTTATAGGTTTTGATTTTTTAGTTTACCTGAGCCAAAGGCTCAAGTAAGCTTTTTCCATTGTCTGTTGTCGTTCCAGGTGTCAGTGTCATCTTTGTTTAAAAACTTTTCACATTTTCATCTTCTTCCAGAACTGCACGGCAATTTTCAACCATATTTGCCACAAAGCATCCTTGGATGAAGGAGATTCAATGTTGTTCAAATGAAGAGCCTTGCCCTCTTTCAAGGGGAGATAATTAAAAATTAGTTAAAATTTAATGAATCTTTCAAAAATCTTCCTCTCAAGAACCACTGGAACAGAAAAGAAGAAACTTATGTGAAAGCTTTATTACATAATGAAGTGGGAAGTTTGTTCGGATCATGACCCCAAGGGATATGGATTGGCCGCAATAAGCAATCAAAGTTTTACATACAGAAATATATATATAAAAACCTTTATCAATCTTTTTCTCATGAAAAACTGGGCCAAAAGGGTTGAAACTTTTGTGAAAAGTGGTGGTAGCATGGGGCTTTAATGGGTGGTCAAAATTTTACTTTAAAAAAATGTAGATACTAGGTAACAATCTTTAGAAATCTTTTTCTCAAAAACTAGACATACTGGTAGTATGGGGCCACAATGGGGGATCAAAGTTTCACACCAGATAGTGATAATTCTTCTTTTTAAGAACAGCAAAGCCATGATTAGTCATACAGATACATATATATTGAAGAATCCTCAAGTAGTGTAGATTCAAATCTGTTGAAATCATGAAGCCCTGGGATAGGGTAGGACCACAATGGGGATCAAAGTTTTACATATGAATATATATTAGAAAAATCTGCTGATAAAGATATTGACTCAGGTGAGCATTGTGGCCAATTGGCTTCTTGTTTGCTCTATCCATGTCAACATGGCACTAGTCAGAAATGATAACTAAATAACAAAATCAAGTATGGACAGAAAAAAAAAATCAAGCAAGATATAAAAAACCACCAAAAAGTTTGATTTATTTAATAAATATATAATTTTTCAGACAAGGCTGTTTATGCACATTTTTTAACATTACTGATGATATAATTTGTAAAAGATATAACACTGAAAATTTTATTAGTCTTGTCAAGATATTGCTGACTTACATTTTACTGGCCCAACAACATTTTAAATCAGGCTAGTGTATTTTGGAAAACAGTGTACTGTGCTTTGTAATCACCAGGTAAATTTAATTTTAGGTTGTTAAATAGGTATATTTAGTTGTCTTTATACCTTTTCTCTCTCTCTCTCTCTCTCTCTCTCTCTCTCTATGTATGTCATATTGCATATAAATCTAGATGAAAAATATTCCTTGTTTTTCAGAATGATCAAGAACTTGTTTGACTGAAGAGATAGAATGAAAAGGGAAGACCCAAAAGTGTTTTATAACAGATACTGTGAGAGTACCGGGTATTTGATTTTGTAGTTTTTAATCAGTAGCAAGATTAGGCCAAATAAAAAAAATATGTGTGGTTCTGGTTACCCGACCTTCCCTATCTTATACCCCCGACCCTAAACTTTTTTTTGGCAATTTTCATATTTTTTCCGGAATTTTCCCCGATTTCCATCAATGGCTTCGGTCTAAGTTTTAGTTTCAGCAATGACGACCTCCTTACAAAACATAGCGCAAGTGTTTAATAGTATTAAGTCCAAAGCAAGCTAGCATGTAGGTGTCCCCTACCAATATTGACTAGTATATTATCACATCACATCTAAATGCCATTTGCAAAGCAGTGATAGGTATTATTTAGAAAAATTAAGAAAATCATTTTGTTAAAAAGAAAAAAAAAAAATTCCCTACCTACCTACCCTGATTTTTATGGAAGTGTAACCGGAACCACACATATTTTTTTTGTTTGGCCTTACAGAATTCATAACTGACATAAATGATAGAAAATATGGTAAAGATATTTTACATATTTCATAAATTAGTAATTTGAATTATATACTTTTGAAATGAAACCCTATATCATTTTCACAGAATGCGCAAGATGGCTTGCATCATGGTTATGAAGGAAAAGCTGACAGTATTTTTGAGACAGCAAGAAAAACATCATTGCACACCATCAACTAATGACTCCAAAGGTGGGGGACCAAATGCCATGCACATGCAACCATTTGAGATTTTACATGAAATTACTGCATTACATAAACTTGAGATTCCATGTCAAGTAATTTATAAATTCAAAAAAACCCTTTAATACCTTTAAATCAATGTAGAACAATGAGTTTTAATGTGGTAAATGATAATTATATGTAACTATTATTTCAGGAATAACAAAGATTAAGAGTACAAAGAATGGATTCAATGCTGGTACTTGGATAAAGATAATCAGGCATGGGCTCTCATATCCCATGTATCTTCAGCACCTTTAGGTTACAGTTTTATATTTCACTAGAAGAGACTCATAAATAAACAAAGGACAGTCAGTTACTACAAAAGAGAAGCATCGGAGATTAGTGATATTTTGTTCAGCATTATTGCATCTTACAAAATGTAATCTATTAAAATTTTGTTTACATCTATCAATTAATGATTTTGATACATGTACCAGTAATAAATAATTTTGATGTGGGATAAACTGATAAAATTGAATGGAAAACAAGCAGATGACTTGGTAATGATGTGTAAAAGACATCATTCATTTAATTAATACATGTAATTGCATGCAGTTAAAATTCAGTCAAAATTCTTGTGGTGTATATTGAAAGGTGTAACCAAGAGGGAAACATAAAATGATTTTCATATTATCATTAAAATAAAAGTAAAGTTGTATATTATACAATTATTTCTGTTTTTGAGGTCATTACAATGGTTTGGCTTGCCTAGGTGTATGCATTTACTGATCCTAAAGAAGGAAGTAAATATTGTCCCTCGATGGTTGTTGGATCAATATATTAACCCCCCCCCCCAAAATAAATAAATGCAATTTCAATTCTGTATAATACCCTATGTATCATACCCACAGGGTATGGTGTGTATGAAACAAGCGTGACCTTTTGATTTGGCTGTTGGACTTACAAAAAATTTATAGGCTGAAAAAAACCCCTCAAAAATGGGATATGATACTGTTTTTGTAAATATGGATTATCTCCCTTTTCAGCTTAAAATTAGAACATTTTACTGGTCATGAAAATATTTTGATTAAATGAAAAGTAAAATTGTGTTGTATTTCAAATTGGAAAATTGAGAAATTTTTTTGAAATGTCAATTTATTCGTACATGCATACCCGGTATATATTCATGATATGCGTATAGGGCATATATATTGGACTGTGACAAAAAAAGGGAAATTGCCATTTTTTATATGAAACTCGTCAATCGTTTTTGGAAAATAATAATCATTTGCACAAAAATGTTTTAATTATTTTATTTGCTATAGGGTTTGATGTCTATGAAATAAGCATGACCTTTTGGTTTGGCTGTTGGGTTTTTTAATTTTTTGATAGCTGAAAATCCTCAAAAAATTGATATTTTGCTGTTTTTGTCAGTATGGATTATCTCCCTTTTCAGCTTAAAATTGGAACATCTTACTGGTCATGAAAATATTTAGATTAATTAAGATAGGTAAATAATTGTGTTGTATTTGAGTTTGGAAATGTAAAGAAATTGTGTTGAAATGTCAGTTTCCTTTTACATGCATACATATATGGCATATATTGGACTGTGACAAAAAAAGGGAAATTGCCATTTTTTGTATGAAACTCGTCAATCGTTTTGGGAAAATAATAATCATTTGCACAAAAATGTTTTAATTATTTTATTTTCTATAGGGTATGGTGTCTATGAAACTAGCATGGCCTTTTGGTTTGGCTGTTGGGTTTTTTAATTTTTTGATAGCTGAAAATCCTCAAAAAATTGATATTTTGCTGTTTTTGTCAATATGGATTATCTCCCCTTTTCAGCTTAAAATTAGAACATTTTACTGGACAAGGACATATTTTGATTAATTATGAAAAGTTACTACTTGAGCTGTATTTGAATGAGAAATAAACAAAAATGTGATTTATTGTCTGATTTTCTTTTAATTTCATCTGAAATATTGATATTTTTGCATATTTTTACAGGAAATTTCAGCCATATTTTACCGAAAACAGTTTAACTGTTGCCATGGCAACCAGACACAGAATTGTTAAAAAATCATTTTATTTTTTGTAGTATCTTAGCATACTCTACCAACATGCAAAGTTTGAAAAAATTCTGAAACCCCCCATGTATCACCCCCTGCATGATTTTTACACGGAGCCATACTTAAGATTTCAAGTTATTCAATCTTAAGCAAATATACACATTTAACAGTCTCAAATCAGTCGCAAACAAATATGTGTAAAAGTGTATTTTATTTTATAATATTCAATGTTATCCAGTTAGTCTATATTTACAAAGTATTCATGGCAAAAACCTTATATCAAATAAATGTAAATTGTTAAGTGCTACACTTTCTAAAACAAACATACACTGATATATTTTTCTGTCTCTTACTTGTCAATGATAATTCATTAAAGTATAAACAATACTCATCTTAATATTCTAAAGTTGATCAGGAGTCTATAATGTATTTACATATGAATTTTGCTGAAAATCAATATTTCCCCTTTTAAAAAAGAGAAATCACTTAAAACAAGTACTAGAGAGTTAATAGATAACTATATCTTTTATTAAGCTGAATGTTATTTTGGATAGGCGGGTTTTTGTATTTGATGTACTCAAAGCATTCTGAAAGTATATGCCATTTGGTATTCGATTCTCTACGATATTTTTCCTCCCATGATATGTTTTACCCAGGATATGTTTGACATATTTTTTTTTATCAATTGAAAAAAAAACTTTCAAACAGCATATAAGCAAGAGGCAATTCAAAAAGGCAATTAAAATAACCAGAAACACATTTCATAGCTGTTTCAAAACAGATGCATTACAGCAAAATATCCATATTTCTTGCAGAAAATAATTTCAGCAAAAAGCCGGTTATGATTTGTTAGGGGATTAAAAGATTTGAAATGAGGAAAATAACTTGATCACGCTTTGACACAAAAACGTGTGATGAACAGGAACTTTTTTTTTATTTTAAGCTTAAAAAATAATATCTAGACACTAGTGCATATTGTTCAGATACGGAATTATTATATTGTTTCTAGATCCATAAAATTTGATCACCGAAAAGATATGAACAGGAAAAAACCGTCATCTTTGGTAAAGAAAATAAATTAAAAAAAAAATAAATAAAACTGACAGACTCCTCATATCCAATTTTAATACAATTTCTAATGCAGGAATGTAAAATACATTTCGTCATAAACTTCTAAAAATACATTTTACTGGGTTGTAGAGAGTGGTCAAAGATGCAATATTTCTTATCATTTGATTATTGTGATCTTTTGAAACTTCACAGCTGACTTAAATTTATTGAATTAGTTTAAATATCAAAGATGGCTGACAATTATGTAATTATGTACGTCCGACTCAAAATTCTGTACATGTGTTTGACCATAGACATTCTATATCTTAATTGATAAATACAAACGCATTTTCCCAATTCTGTTAGGCTTGCAACTTGACACTATTTTGAATTCTGTTCAAGACCACTGCTATTTTTTTAAATATATATATATATATATATATATATATATATATATATATATATATATACAGGGTTCTCATTAACGCAAGAATCTGCGTCCTAGACGCAGCAAAATTACTTGGGACGCAAGGTTTTTAAAAACGATGCGTCCGCGGACTCGTGATCGGACGCGTCCTCGTTAGCGAGAAAATTCGGGTGGTTTCGAAAACGGGGAATTCTGATTTAGGATTTGTCAAAGAAATATTTAATCGAAACCTTCCAGTAACTATCATAAAGTTTATCCAAGAAACAACTTTTCTTTTACTTATTTCTCTTTTTTTAAACAGGGATTGATCATAAGATAGTTCATGTTTATTAGTCCGTAGTTATAGGCCTAATAGTGTCGTATGCCAAACTCCGACAGCTGTAAACTTTAAAAAAAAAAAAAATTGAATCTTGAGTGTTATCTACATGTAGAAACCATAATTACTGCTTGTATACACAATGCGGCTTGATTATCTCGTGAATTTCACCCAGTGCAACTACCAACAGGATTAGTTACGCCTCATTGAACATGACACCTGTGATTGTATACAGTCAACTTCTGGGTACTAATTGATTATGCAACAGTTAAACACCAAGTTATTTGTATGGCAATTGATTACGCGTGTATTTTAAAATATGGCTTGAATGCATTACCAGTTTATATACTTGAATATGTTAATATTGCGTAAACAAACTGATAAAATGATAAAGATTTTTATTGATGTTTGGATGGAAGGATACTGCAATAATTTAGTTGGGACTCAACATAATTTTTCTGGGACGCATCAAATTTAGCTGGGACGCAACCTTCTCAGAAATCTTGAGTCCTGGGACTCAAGGTAGCAAAATCCTAGTGAGAACCCTGTATATATATATATATATATATATATATATATATATATATATATATATATATATATATATATATATATATATATATATATATATCTTTACGGTATAAAATGTGTTGCACACGTCGACTACTTATTACGTCACTGTGAAAATACGTATATTGTTTGTGACTAAACAATGCATTCGTGGTCATGGGACGAACTTGTACACTTATAGGCTTGAATATGCCTTGGTTAAATAGAGTTATAAAAGTAAAACATGTGCAAATAAAATATTAGACTGGTGAATATAATTAAATTTTACTTAAAAAATTGAAGCTAAACTACAGGTAGGTAAATAATACTATCAATATACAACCTAATATCAGTGGAGATATTAATCTAAAGCCAGTATAACTTTTTGATTGTTCTTTGTCTTCTTTGGATTTCCTTTCAAGAATATGCACATGCTTTGAATTTGTTGTGCGTTCTCTCGCAACCAACCCATGTGTTCAGTGAAATATGAAGAAAATAAAAATAAATCAAGTTCAAGCGTCCGTTGGAACAAAATAATTGACAATGGTATCATATACGAACCTCTAAAATTATCCGCTTTTGGATGAGGTGCCATGGTGAAGTAAACACTCCTTTTCAAACACAGCAACCACTTTCGAGTATAGTTTATGCAATCAGGGCCCAACTGTATTTTTATCATTTCTTGCATATTCCAAATACGTTAGTTGATCTAGACCTTTTTCTACATAAGCGATTTGAGCATGTACATCAGTAATAAAAGGGAGGACATCATTTTTTTACCTATGAATTTTCCCATGAATTCGACAGATGGATTTTTACTTTAGGCAAGATTGGTTTGAAAAATTATAAAACAAGCAAAACAATCATTTTGTTATGCAATCATTATAAAAGAAGACCAAATCCAGTTTCCAGAATCTATTTTTGTTCTTTCCCTACCAACTAGTGAATGTTTAAATTGAAAACAGGCGTAATCCAGAATTATTTTGAAACGAAAAATTAAATAATAATAATAAAAAAACGAACAAATAAACAAGCAAACATACAACCAAAAAAAAAAAAAAAAAAAAAAAAAAAAAAAAAAAAGATAGGACTTTATATTTTTTTTAAATGGACAATTTAAAGCGGTATCAAGAAATGAGATTTGAAGACAAGATTTAGGGCTTTGGTCCAAAAGGGCCCCAATCATATGATTATACTGTCCTATCTGATCGAATTTATTTTATGAAATATACTTTGAAGTACGACTACTTAAGTCATATTGAAGATTGTATTTGATAACATTAAATATGTCAGAAAGGACAGTACATACGTCTTCTTAAAATTAAAACAAAAACCAAGATGATTTTAAAAGGTGCGTAAAAAAATTCAATATCATAAGAAACGCGTTAAACTTTTTTTAAATATAAATAAAAGGATTACCAAAAGATTTATTTTTATACTTAATTCAATCAAAATAAACACATGATTTTTTTCTAGAAATAGACATGTCAATTTAAGGGCAAAAGTGGACGAGGATAAAGACTTCGTATTCAGTGGTGTCTGCAACACCCGTTCTTTCTGGGCTCGCTGCTGAAATCGATGCTTGCTTCCGACGTTAAACTTGACCTGGTTTGGGTTTGCGTGGCTTCATCTCTGGATTTTCTCAGAGTCAGATCTGGCTATCGTAAAGCGAACCCAATGCTCACACGGAAAGAAAATCTGTTGTTCAATTCGTGTCCTCTTTGTGTTAGATTTCTAGACGATCGATCTTGTATGCCCATTTCTAGTGGAGGTATATTTTGTCTAGTGAAAGAAACCAGCTTTATCCTTTCTCTTGATAATATATAACACACATGTTATCGAAAACGCAACAGATAACGACATAAAACAATGTATACATTTCTCAGATAAAAACAATCCTTCGGGATTAATCACAAAATTTAATTAATGTTTTTTTCTCATTTTACTTATACAGCCTGTTTGTATTTCTATTGTAACTGTTCTAGGAATGTTTGATAATGCAAAACAAAATCAAAGCATTTGAATTTTCAGGTATGTCTAATACAAAAAGAAGTATATTTTCATTCAATGGTATGACAGAGACTGATTTATTCAAATTCATCCATTAATTAATTTCCTAGAGTGAGCGAAGCATTCAATTCCTTTGTCCAGAGTGATATTTCTAAAATTGTAGCTCTAGACAAGAATGAGACATTCCGATTTCAAGGCATATCAAATAAATACATTGGTGTTTTTTTAACAATATGCAGTGAGATATAATTTAATTTTTGGATTTTTTTTTCAAGGGGTAGCTGCTTTTTATGAACTGATATGTATCCTAACATGTTACTTAGGTGTTTTCACACCACTATACACTGTGCATTAAAAAAAGCCTATTTCGAAGTAAAAACACAAGGACGTCTAGTCTACATAAACACTTCACCTACACTCCTGTTATATAACAGCCAAAAGAGGTAAAACAACCTTGTTGGTCAGGACATTACCATTAAAATTGCTCATTATTATGCTTACT